AGGCTTCCCATAACTGTCACACCTACAAGGCAGGGCCCGAGATGGGAGCCCTTAAGTCCTGAGATCCAGATGTGCTGGCTCTCTTGGTTCCTGGGTCCTGGATGCTGGACGCTGGAGGTAGACCGAGCAGTTTTCCAGGGAACACCACTGGGCTATGCTACACCTTTCCCGGACCCTGTAACCTATGCCTTTACTTGTAAGTTACCCCACAAAATAAACCTCCTTTTTAACTATGTGGAGCTACCTTAATACTTCCAACAATAGATGAGGGTGTGGCTCAGGTGTAGAATGTGTTCGTAGTATACCTGATAATTTGGAGTTGACTCCCAGCAATCCCTCCACATTGCGTAATATATAGGTGTAAATACTATATAAGCACAGTTGACCCAAAGGATTCAGATTTTGGTTTTTCAAAACAGGGTTTCTCTGTGTATCCCTGGCTGTCCTGGAACTCACTCTTAGACCAAGCTGGCCAGAAACTCAGATCCACCTACCTCTGCCTCCTGAGTGCTGGGATTAAAGGCTTGCATCACCACCTGGCTCAGGTTTTGTTTTTGTGTTTTGTTTTGTTTTTTTAAATTGACATTTAAGGTATGTAAGACTTGTGGCCTGAATGTAGACAGGTACCAGAATGAACAGCCCTGGAGGTGATGTTGTAAATGGTGGAGAACTCTTATACTACCAAAAAAAATGTATTATATAAAAGCTATAATGACACATAAAAATAAATTCTTATCCCATTACAAATATAACTTTCCTACCACTTGGGAGATGAACATAGAAGGATAAGTCTCAACTATGTTCAACTCTGTCTCAAAAAACCAAAACACACAAGCCAAAAACTAATATAACCTAAAATAAATGTGTTATCCAAAAACAAATGTTGTGCAATTGGCTCTAGTTTTCTCTGTCTTAGTTTGGGGAAGAATGGGTTTAGTGTACTTTCTTGCTCACAGTACACTCTACAATATATTTATTTTGATAAATTTTTGCTATGTATGTGATTTAGCTAGTTGACTGTAAGTGACATGCATATAATGCTGTTTAATTCTTTATGGTGTTTGCTGATTAGACTAAAAAACTAAAAATTAATTAAAAGACAACATTCTATCTCAAGTTATCTAGGACTAAAACAGGGAATATTTAAGCTGCTATTAATGTGTTCTTAGTCATTTACATTTCCAGTTGACAATTTTGAGATTAGAAATAGAATTTTAATAAGCTGATATAATATCCATGGAAATATACAATATACATAACAGTCATTTGTTCAATGAGTACTTATTGATATCTACTATGTACTAAGTACTATTCTCAGCATTGAAGAACCTTACTGTATAGGACAAAAATTCCTGTCCCTCTCTAGTTGCCAGCACAATTCATAATATGGATAATGGATTAAATTAAGCAGTTCAAATAATTTCTCTAACTCATGAGATCACAATACAGTACTATTTTAAGAAGAGATGACCATAATTTAAATATATATATTATTTGTAGGCAGAGTTTTTGTCAAGACTGCCAGCTCCCCAATAAACACAGAAAGACTTAATATTAAGTATAAATGCTCGGCCGATAGCCTAGGCTTGGTACTAGGTAACTTTTTGTTTGTTTGTTTTTGTTTTTCAAGACAAGAGTTTCTCTGTGTATCCCTGGCTGTTCTGGAACTTGCTTTGTGGACTAGGCTGGCCTTGAACTCACAGAGATCTGCCTATCTCTGCCTCCTGAGTGCTAGGATTAAAGGCATGTGCCACCATGCCCGGCTCTCACATTTTAAATTAACCCATATTTTTTATCTAACCTTTGCCACTTGGTGATACCTTCTTTCAACATGGCATGATCATCTTGCTTCTCTCTGCATCTGCTTGCAACTGCACTGACCACCCTTCTTCCCAATCTCCTTAGTCTGGCTCTCCCACCTAACCTTATCCTGTCTAGCTATTGGCCAGTCAGCTTCTTTATTAAACCAATCACAGCGACATATATTTACACAGTGTAAAGGAATATTCCACATTATTCATTAGGAAAAGTGTAGTTTCAGAGTGAACAGAATTCATTCATTAATTATTTTAGCATTTATCACATCTGGAAACATCTGTCATCTCAGTGAGCTTCTTTGGTTTATTCTGTATTGAGTGGGACACTAACTAGAGTATCTAGGTATGGGTCTTTCAGAAAGGGAGGCAGACAATACAGTTTTAATAAAATGGGGTAGTTTATAGATAATATAGGAAAGTCAATATTTTTGTGTAGGAACAAAAGACTTCAAAAATTTTCATATGGGAAACAATCAACTCTTCCTCATTGAGTTAATTTGCTTATTTTTTAAGTATTTTTTATTTATGTGCATGTCTCTGTGTATATGTATCACTGCCCACAGAGGTAAGAGGATAGTGTTGAATTCCCTGGAATTGAAGTCATGTGTATTTGTAAGCCACCTGACATGGGTTCTGCGCTGACTTAAAGCAGTAAGTGCTCTTAACCAGGGAGCCATCTCTTGAGCCTCAAATTATTTTAAGTTATAAGAAAATTATGACAGAAATCTACCTTGTCCAGCAACACCAAAAGCCTTGACCTAACAAATCCCAGATGCTAGCATTACATCTTCTGTGTAACCACAGTGGCACCATTAATGGGTTGGGTGGTCCTCTTGTATTTCCTTACTTGTTATGTTTGTTTAAGTTTCTTTCCATCATCCAGTTTTATTTCTGAACAGGCATCAAAAATTTTTAGCTTCTGATTCTTCTTGAACCTCTATGACTTACAAAATTGATTGGAAATTCTTCTTGTAAAAGTTTTTTGAAAGATGCTACAGAACTTAATTTTACTCTTGAGTTAAACATACACACTATGTCTACAGAGTCCTTGCATTGTGATGAAACAGGAGCTAACTTAGAGCTGGCTTTAAAATACATATGAGACCAAGAATCTAAAATAGTAGTGGACTATTTAGGACAAACTTGAGAATTACCTAGTGTGCTTGTGTCTGACGACAAAATATGCTGATTCTCATAAATAACAGGAAAAGTTACATCATTAGAAGTGTCTATCACTAGAGATTCTGCTAAGGTTAAAGAAAAAAAATTTGCCAAGAGCGAAGTTTAGTAATATAAAAGTTACTATATGGAAGGTTTCAGAAAGAAATTTATTACCTTGCTATAGTCAAAGTACCCCTGAAGACAGCAATGTGGATATTAAGTTTTGTTTTTGTTATTTTTTAAATCATTCATGTTTATTGTGTTTTTTAAACCCATTCTTCCCCAAACTGAAACAGTGCACTAAAGTAAGTAAGTTGCCATTTCTATAAAAAATGAAAGGATGGATGCTTCTTAGACAAAACAAAGCAAGACATCCATTCTTAGATTAGTTCTTCCTTTTGGACCATTACTATCAGTCACTGACCTTAATATTACTAAAAGTATCCTACTTTTTTCCTTATACATAACTTATTGAGGTACTCTTAGAAAAAGTTGGAGTTTTTCTTTGTTTTCCACAACCTAGAATTCAGAAATTTGTAAACAGCTCTTAGGAGTGTCCCTTGCTCCCTCCGTCCCTCCCTCCTTCCTTTCCAACCTTCCTTCCTTTCTTTCTTTAAGGCAGTGTTTACTTGTGTAGCACTAGCTGTCCTGGAACTCACTCTGTAGACCAGGAAGGGCGTGGTACAGTAAAACTTCTGTCAGTATGAAACAATAGGCCTTACTATGCCACAAGAGTGGCCACAATCCCTGGCATACACACGCAGTCTTTCAGGTATGGCTTCTTCCTTTTCAGTGCTTATTTATTTGTTTTGGTTTAGCCTTTCTCCACCTACCCCACCCCGCATCTTTCAACAAATGTGCAGCATGATGTTTCAATAACAAGGCTGATGCCATGAATATGAAAGCTGCAATTTGCAAGGGACAACATCTAGAACTCAGGATGCTAATCAGAGTGGGTGCAATTCTAATTAAATGATCAAGTAACATTACAACATGCTGGGATGCAGCATCAAAACTGTACATTAAGTTGTGTCTCCCACCCCATTCCCCCCCCCACTCCCCACCCCACCCCACCTCGCCAAGACTGGGTTTGTCTATGTAAAAGCCATGGCTGTCCTGGAATTCACTCTGTAGACCAGGCTGGCCTTGAACTCAGAGATCCCCCTGCCTCTGCCTCCTGAGTGCTGGGATTAAAGGCCTGCACCACCACCGCCCGGCCAGTTTCTTTTTTCTTGATCAGAGGCTCCACATTGTGTCCAGTCTCTTCCTTGTGTTTTAGGTGAGCCCCATCAGACCTCCAGCAGCATCAGTGTGTGGCCTTATCTCCCAGACCCTCCATGTTGAAGGCTCGGACCACCTTGGGGTTGTCTTTCTGGAATTGAAGGTGCTTTGTTGCGAGGATCTTTAACGTAGAACTTTTTGTTTGTTTTGTTTTTGTCACTGCTCAATGTTTATTTTTGATGTGTGTTTGATTCTTTTTTTTTTTTTTAATTTTATCACTCTGTAGACCAGCAAACACAATTCAAGGATCCCTTAAACTTGGGGTCCTCCTTTCTGTCTCAGCTTCCCAGACCTGGGGCTGCAGTCATGTGCTACTGTGCCTAGTACTTTGTGTGTGCATATATATATATATTTTCCTTCTGCTTCTCTATAAATGAATTTGGGTTATGTCAGTAGTTGATAGTTATATAGTGAATACTCTTAACCCCAAACATATTATTGAAAAATATTTTCATACTATAATTTTGTTTTCCCATCTCTAAGTTCCTTCCAGATGCTCCCCACCTCCCTATACACTCTACCCACACAATTTTATGTTCTTTCTTTAAAAAAAAAATCCCCACAAAAACAAAAATCAAACAAGTGAAAGACAAATAAAACAAACAAAAAATCTCCAAATAAAGCATCTGAGACAAAAAGTCTAGAGAAATACCATTGAGTTCATTTTGTGTTGGCCGTCTCCTGCAGCGTGTGGGGTCTGCCCTAAAGTCTGGTTAATATACCCAGTAAGATTCCACTGGAGAAAAATGAGTTTTCCCTTTGTCATCGGGTGCAGATAGCTTATCCCTTGGGGTGGGAGCCTGTGCCTACTTCCCCCTCAGTGCTAGGACTCCATCTGGCTTGAACCTGTGTGTAGGCCTTGTGTGTGCTTGCCATAGCCTCTCTGAGTTCATATGTGCATGAATCCTGTTGTGTCTGGAAGACACTGTCTCCTCAGAATCATGCATCACCTCTGGCTTTTATAGTCTTTCCACCTCCTTCTGTATAGACCCCTGAGCCTTGAAGGGAGGGCTTTGAATTTAGGACTGATGCTCCAAAGTCCCTCCCTCCCTCCACATAGTCCAGTTGTGGGTCTCTGTGTTAGTTGCCGTCTATTACAAGAAGAAGTTTCTCTGATGGGAGCTGAGTGAAGCACTAATCTATGGATATATCAGAATGTCATTAGGAGTCATTCTATTGCTATATTCCTTTAGTAGAATAACAGTATTAGGTTTTCCCCTAGACCCGTGATCTGTCTAGTCTCAGGTTCTTGGTCACTTTAGCAGTGTCAGGCATGGGTTCCATCTCATGAAGTCAGGCCTTAAATCTGATCAGAGCGTGACTGGTTACTCCAATAATAATTGTGTCACTGTTGCACCAAGGTATCTTGCAGGCAGGTCACTATAACAGGTTGCAGGATTTGTAGCTGAAGATATTGATGAATGTATAGTTTTAATAGCTATATACCCACATGGTCTAGTGAAACATCTTTCATCCATACCTAAATTCTACTTAATTTCCTCTCAAGTGATTTGCATTTTTATTGAAAATTCCATCCATTAAATGTGTATAGATATTTTTCTATAAATGGAAACTATATATACATATATGTACCCTAGAACTTTTGTTTGGAGACACAGTCTCACTCTATAGACTAGGTTGGCCTAGAATTCACAGAGATCCACCTGTCTCTGCTTCCCAAGTAGGATTAAAGGCGTACGCCACTTTTCACCAAGCCTGTGTTCTAGGGATTCCCCACCACCACCACCACCCTTATATTGACATCCCTCCCTCATAGGCTTCTATACTGTTGCATATTTGTTTTATTTTGTTTGAGACCATGTCTTAATACATAGCCCTGGATAGCCTTTGAAACTAGGAATGTAGACCAAGCTGGCCTTGAACTCAGAGAAATCCACATGCCTCCTATGTACTAGGATTAAAGATATGTGCCACTACAACCAGCTCTGCTTCATTTTTTTTTTTTTTTTTACAATCTTGGAGGTTGCTCATGCATTCGTGTGTGTACATGTGTGCACCATGGAACATGTGCAAGTCAAAGAACAACTTTTAGGAGTCAGTTTTCTCCTACTATGTAGGTTCTCAGGATCAAATGTTACTCCCACCAGTCGAAAGTGAGACCACTATCGCAGTTTAAAGCCAAGTTTGAAGCAAGCTTTAATTAAATACTAGCCAGGTGGGTGGCCTCTGGCCAGGTCCATCTCTGGGTTTCCAGAAGAGGACCCTGAGTCATGGTTTACAGCAGCTTAAGTTTTTCCCATCAGATCCAATCAGGGGCAAGCATGCATACTCACGTATTCTCTGCCTATGTACCTCCTGCCCACATGTGACCAAGTATATCTGGTGCAAAGGGGTCAAACAAACTTGTATGGGGGAGGGAAGACATGTGGCTTCATAAACAATAGCCTGCAGAATTTCAGGAACCATCTGTCCTTAGGCAAGGGGCTTACAGATCAGAGGTATTTTTGTTTCATGGATCTCTTAGGCATAGTAATTAAAACTTAAAAGTAACTTCAGCTCTCACAGGAACTCATCTCACCAGCCCTACCTCATACTTTTTAAGAATCTACATAAATCATTCTATGGCTTATTCCATATTGATGATCTTTGAGCTTTTTTTCTGCTGTGGTGATGCATTTCTTTATTTGAATTCATGCTGCTTGGGAATTAGGATTTTTACCTACTCCATGTTTATTTTAATCTTTAGAATTTAGTATAATGTGCTGGCTAGTTTTATGTCAAATTGACACAGTATAGAGTCATTTGAAAGAAGGGAACCTCAATTGAAAAACATGCTTCCATAAGGTCAGGCTGAAGGTAAGCCTATAGAACATTTTCTTATGGGGGAGGGCCAAGCCCATTGTGGGTGGTGTCATCCCTGGGCTGGTGATCTTGGGTTCTATAAGAAAAAGCAGGATGAGCAAGCCATGAAGAGCAAGCCAGTAAACATGGCCTCTGCATTAGCTCTTGCTTTTGGGTTCATGCCCAGTCTGAGCTCCCGTCCTGACTTCCTTTAATGATGTACTAAAATATGGAAGTGTATAGAGGGTACAGGATTCCTAGGCACTAGGGGTGCCTCACAGATAAGTACTAGGAAAACCAAGAATGTTAAACACACCTCCTCAATTAAGGAGACGTGTACCAGTTTTCCACCCAGAAGTCTGGGGAATAGATGTAGTTAATAGACTAATGATCTATGCCAAGCCATACCTGAATCCCTCAGACTATTATGCTTATCCCAGATTCTTCCTCCCCAGACATTTATTTTTATTTTGTTTCTCAGTCAATAGAACCCATCCCTAGGAGAGATGTCACACATACTTTGTAACTTGGTGACCTCTGTGATGACCAAACCACACCAGATCCTCCCCTGGGACCTTAAGCTATAGCACCCATTTTTACTGAAAAGGTCACATGTACTTTGCAATGTTGTCACCACCACCACCCCTTTTTTTTAAATTGTGATTGTCACCAGGAAACTTTTTTTCTAGTGTTGTACTGTACTTAAATATGACTAAAGTAAACTGCCCAGTGTCAGATTCAAGTCTGAACCAACACAGGCTAAGTTGTGTTAAACTGGATTTCCTTCTTCCCTCAAATGGATGGTTACTCTGCAGGTCCTGGTGTTTACAGGGACACCCACAGAAGGGCAAGCAGAATAAGCCCTTTCCTCCTCAACTTGAATTTAGTCCTGGTATTTCATCACAGCAATAGAAACCTTAACTGAGACAAATATCTAAAAGATATTCTTGAATGAATTGCAAACTTTGAAGTGTTTCTACACAACAGCTTTTCACTCAACTATAAGCAAACATTAGAAACTTTTTGATGAAGTGATTTCTCTTTTAGACGTTTATCCTAGTGTTTAAAATAACACAGATGTAACACTAGAAAAACTAAGTTATGTGTATTTTAAATGTTATTCCAAAACTTTTCACCAAATTTAGATACTGTATGATTGGTAAGTTTAGCACAATATTGTATATATAGTAGCATTAGAAACTTTTCAAAGAACTTATATTTAACTGAGGGAAACATGGTTTTATGATGATATGTGCAGAATGACCAGCTGCTGGGGCTTACAAGTTAGTCATAGAGGACACTTGGCATGCATGAGGGTTCAATCCCTGACACTGCAGATAAACAAAAGGGCAAGGGAGAAACCAAGGTCTCAGAAGACATGGGTTTGAAATTAAGTGACCCATGATCATTATCATTACTAACAGTTACTGAGTGCTCACCACATGCCAGGCCATCAGAAGAACTTCGTTCCCTTTAACCACCACCCTTTTTGTTTCTAGTTAATAAAGTTGAAACACAGAAATGTTAAATGCCTTGCTTAAGTCACATAGCTAATAAATGACTAAACTAGGATCAGACACAGTCCAAGTCCAGAGCCCGTTTTTAAAAGCCGTGAGATTTCCTGTCGAAAGGTTTTGAAGGGCCAAGTGCTAAGGCAACGGCACAGTGTTGTTCTGAGAGAGCACGCAGGGCAGCTTTAAGAACTGCTGGGGCCTGGTCGCCCAGCAGCAAGAAGGCAGGTACAAAAGAACATCCAAAATCAGACTGAGTACAAGTCTGACTGACATCCATGCTCCAGGTGTGGAATTTCCAAACAAGACCATTTCCCCTTTACTGTCTCTTTAACAGTTTCACTGCTGAGATGGCACTGGTATGGTGGTATTTTCTGGTTTTCGTGTTTTATTAACCCCCAGGACTTGAGGGCTTTTTATCCTTTCAAAGACATAGCATTCACTTTTGTCTCCAGAGGCTGGGGTTCTAGTGCTGACCAGATGAAAGCCTTCCTTTAATAAAGTATCGATCAGCAAGCCGAAGACATTTGTTCCATTCGCCAATTTTCGGTTATCAGGCTTTATGGAAATGTACCTGAGACATACAAAGAAGTGTTTAATTAAAAAGCATTCCTTTAATAGCTAATAAAACTACACATGTATACTTATTTACAACCTCAGATAAAGGCATCATACCTTTCTCCTTTTTGGTTTTTTGAGACAGTGTTTGTGTAGACCATGATGGCCTCGAATGAAAAATAAAATAAAATAAAAAGGAAGGGAACGTGACTGGTCCTAGGTACAACGGAGGAGAAAATTTATTATAGATAAAAGGGAGAGAGCATAGCTAGAGGCAGGGACAGCTGGGAGAGTCCAGAGTGGACATGACCCTGAGCCATGTGGGGAGGAGAAGGGAGGGTAGAGAGAGGAACCAGGTGCAGTAGCCAAGAGGCCCAAAGAGAGTAGACAAAAAGGACCAGGTAACCAAAATGGTTGGATTGTATAGGGGAGGGCAGCCCAACCCCTGGGCCGGAGAAGTTTAGTGTAGATGTAATTCTGAATGGTCTTATTAAATAAGAAACACAGAGTCAAATGCAGAGCTAAAAGCCCAGAGGTCAGAGAGCAGTAGCCAAGAGCTGAGACCACCTTCTTACCACCCGCTGCTGGCCATCCTTCCCCTGAGAAAGAGACCTACTTCCTGTGTGTCTGTCTTTTTATTGCCTTTCTGTTCTGCTCTCTCATTGGCTCTAAACCCAACCACATGACTTTCTCATCACTGCCTGTCTATTCAGACCTCCAAGTCTCTATGGTTGGTACTTGGATTAAAGGTGTGTGTCACCATGCTGGGTGTGTCCTTGAACACACACAGACTCTGCCTGCCATGTGATCGGATTAAGGGCGTGTGCTACCACTGCCAGACTTCTGCTTAATGGCTATGACCTCTGATCCCCAGGCAACTTTATTTATTAACATACAAATAAAATTACATTTCAGCACAAATAAAATATCACCATAGTTTATGGTAGGGGGCAGGGTATGCCAGCCTGTTATAGGTAGGGACTAAAGGATACTGGGAAAACCAACCATTTGTCCCAGGTTTGAAACCGAACAGGCCTCAAACTCATGATCCTCTGCCTCAAACAAATGCTAAGGTTACAGGTGTGCACCAAGGCTTGGCAACCTAACTTTTTCTTTTTTGAGATTGAGTCTTACTTTTTATCCCTGGCCGCTCTGGAACTCATTATGTAGACTGGCCTCCATGCCTGACTCATAACATTTTTTTAACAGATTCCCTCTTGAGATTTCATTTTCAAATTTGAATCAGTAACTCTAAATATTAAAATAGAAACTGTAATTCTAAGTCATCACAACTATATTTAAGAATATAATCAAAATTGTTGACTTATCAATTAAGTTATTTTCTGGAGCAATTTTGTCAATTAAACTGGCCTAATTTTTGATATAATGTAACTTCTAGGGTTTTTTTTCAATTTTCTTTTACCCAATTTGACTAACTGATCATTAAATTCTTTTTATTAACACTTTACTTTAACAATTTTCCACTAAATCTAATTACCAGTAATATCATAACTCGTGGTTTATTCCTGTCAAACCAGCCTTTTCAGGTTAAGATTTGAAGTTATATCAAGACTCCATTTTTTTGCTACCTTTTCATCAATAATTGCCTGTTATTGGAAAGTAAAATATGGTAGTAAAAAAACGTATTGAAAATGAAAAAAACCCACAAGGTGGTGGTGGCACACACTAATCCCAGGAGACAGAGGCAGGTGGATCTCTGTGAGTTCGAGGCCAGCCTGATCTACAGGGTGAGTTCCAGGACAGCCAGTGCTACACAGAGAAACTGTGTTTTGAAAAAGAAAACAAAAAAAGAGAGAAAAGAAAGAAAGGAAAGCAGACCCTTTTACCCACTAAGTACTCCACAAAGCCTCACATGGCTCCAGAAAAGAACAGCACGTTTGCTCTAATAACGGCAAGACAGCACAGAGAATATCTGCATCAAGGATATTTTTGTGTCTTCCCACTGTTTATTCTAAAAATGTGAAAAAAGGCTTAGGTTAGTTCCAGGCAAACACCAAAGCTGTGCATAGTTTCATGAGTGTAAAACAATGTTTGAGCACATCCCTAGTCATTATTAACTGAGGTCATGCTGAAATGGTCACTGGAGGTCCATTCAGTATTACTGGCAAAGAAAACAGTTAACAGCTAAAAGTTATCAATCTACAAAGCAAAAACTTTTTTCAAAAAAAAAGTTTATTGTGTTTGATACAAATTTTTAACAGTAGTAAAACATTTCATCTATTCTCAAGTACATATCTAAATTATATAGTCTAGAAACAGTTGTCAGAAAGTTATAGAATATCATAAAAGTATTAAGATACAAATAGAAAGTAATAGGTGGTAAAAAAAAAAAAAAACAATGTAGAATGTACTTCAGTAAACCAATGAGCCAAAACTACTATAACTCATTCCCCGTGACCAAATTGAACAAGAATTTCAAGACCCAAGAAAAGGATGAACCAACAGAAAACCTGCACTTCCCTCTAGTGTTGCAGGTAGAACCCAGGGCCTCACAGTGCATGACAGGCAAGGACTCTTCCACTGAGTTCCGTCACCACACCTTATTTTTAAAAAGTTAAGGTCAACTATAATCTTCCATCTAGTTTCATCTAAAAAGGAGAGATCAGAAAATGGCTACAAAAGAAACTCTAGAATCCTGAGACCATAACCTGAACTGAGTAGTGTGTTGTCATGTGAACAGGCATCTAAAGATGAATGCCAGGGACCTGAGAGGAATAACCAAGTACTAAGAGCATACTGAAGAAGCTTAGAAGCCAGTCAGACTTCTTTTACCATTTCCACCATCCAAAAACATCTGAATAGACAGATTTAGACCAAAGACTAGCAAAAATTACAAATAATTGCCAATTAGTTACTCAAAAGTAGTTATGGCCAGAATTTTCACCCAGTCACCATTTATTTTCATATCACTTTAAATAGATTATATATCTCCATTCTGAAACTGGCACTATGTAAATTAAACACAAGAGGAATTCCAAACTTAAAACAACCAAAAATACCACCACATGGTAGTTGGGTGAGGTAACATATGCTTATAATCTTAGCACTGAGGAGGCAGATACAAGTGAATCAGAATCTCCAGGCTAGCCAGGGCCACATGTGACCCTATAAAAAAAAAATAGTAACTAAAGAAATAGCTCTGGTCTTAGAATTATCTGTTATGAAAACTAAATATATCTTTCTCAGACTAAGATTTACAAATAACATTCTGTGCTGTTTCTGATCTGTAACAAAAAGGGGGGTGTCATTTGATACAGTATATATACAAGCATGATCCAATTTCTGTTTCTAACCTTGTTTTCTAAGATTATAATTAGTTCGTCCAAATTCTAACAGAACATTGAGTCTTTCCAAGACATCTTTTTACCTATCATGTGTCTTCCTAAAATTGAGGATGCCATTTTTCCTTAGGTTTCTAACTTTCTGAAAAGGGATGCCGAAAAGATCATTATCATTTATTCAGTTGAATTTTAAAACAATAAAAAAAATCCCATTATTCCTCTTATTTAACTACTTCCTTCCCCAATGAAAATGAAGAACAGAGTTTAAAGCAGTTTGGTAACAACAGGACCTTAGATGTTCTTCATGGCTTATTTGAGTAGTACCCATTTCTAAAATGACATTTCAGCTTCTTTGGAAGACCAGGGAATAAGGATTTATATAGATTTATTGTCATACTTGACTATACTGCTCATTGTCCTCCAGTTGGTAGCTGAGACTAAGGGGTGTGCTGTGGGAGAAATAATACTGGACTCCTTCCTGATAGCTACTGTAAAGGCTAAGGACGCTAAAATATGTCTCTCTCTTCAAAGTGATTGCTTTTAAATGCTGTAAGTAAAGAAGACAAAAAAGTTTTCTTTTTCCTCCTAAAACTTAAAACCTGTTTCCACAGTTGGTAATAACTATCTGCAGCATTAAGACATTTCTAACGGGGGATGAGGTGGTGTGTCCCTGACTGCAGGGCAGCAAAGCAGGAGAGGCAGGTGCAGTGGGAGTGTTCACCTTCAATCCCAGCACTCAGAGGTAGAGGCAGTGGGAGTTCCAGGCTAGCCAGAGCTCCATAAGGAGACCCTGTCTCAAAAAAATAAATACAAATAAAAAGGCAGCCATCCTTTTTCAAGTTCTAGAACAAATGCACAGTGTGTGAGAGAATCGGGCCATACCACTGAACCTCTCTCTCCTGTGTGCAAGCGGGAAGAAGCTGACTCATTCTAAGCCATTCATTAGCAATGGAATAGAATCTACAGAACCAGTTCCTCTTAGAACCCCGAAGTTTCTACTTTCCCTGGGCAGTCTTGGTTTATTACCTGTCCTATAATACCTTCTCAGTCTGAAAGTGCCCAAGTTTAGAAAATAACTACTTGTTCTAGCTGAACAAAACATTAGTCTGAATAAACACTTTTTTTTTTTTGGCGAAGAAGAGTTTTAGGCATAAAGAACTTTCAGTTTTGAGAGAAAATGTCAGAAAACTGGAATAAAAGAGACACTTCAGCATTCAAAATACCTGACTCCAGCATGGTTCTCAATAGTGCCATCAGAGCCACAGTGGAAAACCAGGTCATGGTGAGAAGGCCTTTGTGGAGGCAGTGCGAGTAGCGTCACCTGAGGAGGGAAGGGGTTACTGCTCCAGGCCAGCGCTGCAGGCTGCTCTACAAACACTGTAATCCTTCTCATTAGCCGCTCGATGGTTTTGCTGCAAGAGCCAAACACTCGGAAGAAGGCTTGAGTATTTTGGTTTAAGAAATGCACCTCCATGACAGCAGGTCTTGACTGTAGCAGGTGCTGGCTTAAGAGATCAGCAAGAGAATCAAGTTCATAGAAAAGAGCCTCTCTCTGAAGCCTAAGATAGTCTGAAAAGTCAGCGGGTAACAGAAGCTCACCATTTCTCAGAAAATCTAAAATGAAACTAAACAGAGCACCATCTCTATCCACAAAAATCTGGCCATCAACTGTCTTGAACTCCTGGTCTCTGCCATCTAACATGCCTGCCAACCGAGAGGTAGGGAACTGCTTTAGGGTAGAAAGCCTTGTTGTGAATATCTTCCCTCCCACGTTCAAAGTGACCAGGTCCTGGCTACTCATTCTTCCTAGCTTCTCATTAGATGCTACAAACCATTAACACAGACTTATAGAAACCCTCTAACTCAACCTGCTACCATAATGTTATATATGATTAAGAAACAGGAAAGTGGAGACAGAAAACAAGACCTAAATTCCAAGGTAACTATTGTCAAGACAAATAGTGTATCCATAGCTGTGTTTGCAAATGTGAGTTGCTTGGAGACATGCAGTGTAGAAAATGGAAACAGCAAGTGAAACAGAATGTCAATATATCTCATGATTTCAGATAGATCCCTTTCCTATAATCCACTAAAAACAAAACAAGGAAGTAAAAAGCACTCGTGCAATAGGAGTGTGGTTCAAGGGTAGAGGACTTGCCTAATGTGTGTGAGGCCATGAGTTCTGCCTCCAGCACTGAAGAAATCATTCTCCATGAAACCCTGACATAAATCTGTATTTCAAACAAAATCATGACGACAGAAAACCATTGTCTCCACAGACATTTACCAAGCCCTTGTGGCTGAGGAAAGACTTTTAGAAAACATGATCTGGTTTGAGAAACCCCTTAGTGATTTAATGGCTCAATCTGAATTAAGCTAAGAATAAACAGCTCTGCCGGGTGGTGGTGGCACACGCCTTTAATCCCAGTACTCAGGAGGCAAAGGCAGGCAGATCTTTGTGAGTTTGAGGCCAGCCTGGGCTACAGAGTGAGTTCTAGGACAGGCTCCAAAGCTACACAGAGAAACCCTGTCTTGAAAAACAAAACAAAACAAACAAAAGAATAAACAGCCCTTACCTCACCTTCAACTTGACCATTTCATGGCTGGTAGCTTAGGAAGACACTCTGTGCTTTATTTTTTTAATAGTTTATGTGTATTAGTGTTGTACCTGCATGTTTGTCTATGTGAGTGTGTCGGATCCCCTGGAACTGGAGTTACGGGAAGGCATGAGCTGTCATGTGGGTGCTGAGAATTGAACCCAGGTTACTGGAAGAACAGCCAGTGCTCTTAACCAGTAAACCATCTCTCCTGTCCCTTTTCCCCCTAAGACATAGTTTCTTTGTGTGTTGCCCTGGCTGTCCTGGAACTCACTCTGTAGACCAGACTGGCCTTGAACTCAGAGGTCCACCCGTCTCTGCCTCCTGATGAAAGGCATGCGCCACCACTGCCTATATTTTCTGTGCTTTGAAGTTGAGTTGCCAGCTTTTCTCATCCCCGATTACTTTGGTTCTTCACAATCAAATCAAAAGATGAGGTAAAGACACAGTTTTCTAAAACCCAATTTCACTTAATGGGCTTTCAAGGGCCCGTTTTTCCAAGACTTCAGAAACAAGGTGACTAAAAACAGTTTTAAGGTTTCTGTGTTTTCATTTGAATTCTAAGCAAGGTGAAAAAATTACATACTTCTGTCCTGTGGCCATCTTTCTCTCTACAAGCAGAGAGGATGAGTCTTCATCTAATGACGTTATACTTTATCTGTGCTAACAAACCCTCTCTTCTGTTGTCAGCCTAGTCTTACTACCTGGAATTGTAGGCAAGTGACCTGGGCTGGTTGTACAGTTGCTGTGGTACTGTAGAGCACAACCACAACATTAGGTACCAGTTAAAAAGTGGCTTTCCCAACTCCTGCCCTTTCTGTCTACATAGCTACCGACAGCTGTATCACCTTTAGGGAAAAGTGCACAGATCACTGTAATGCCAATACTTGGGAGGCCTGAGGTAGGACTACCAGGTCAGGCTTGTCAACAAGAATAGGAGGGAGAGATTGAGTTTCCAAAATTACATTTACACTGTCATGAGAAACACTCCTCGAAAACAAACTTGGGAATCCAGTGTATTAACTAACAGTCTTTACTTTTTCAGAATGTTCAGTCAGAAAAGTTACTCTTTGCTCCTTTCACAGTACGCTTGATGACTCAGCACTACACTACCCGAGCCAATGAGGTGGTAGCTCATGTGTGCTCTATGTCACAGATGCAATGTTAAATCATGTATGCTCTCAACTCCCTCTCTTGCTTGCTTACTTCTTGCCTAGACTGGTCTCAAAGTCCCAGGCTCAAGAGATACACTCATGTGCTGTGTACCACAGGACAAATTCAGCCAATACTAGAGGGAGAACAATTATTTTAAAACTGTCTTTACAAAGGAAGGGAAGGGTCGGGACTACTAAACTTTACTTTTATCTTTATGTTCCTATTTGAATAACATATAAAAGACATTACTAAAGGAATACTTTTAAAAGAAACAGTAGACTGGAATCTTGACCAAATCTGAATTATTCCTGTGTTCTCTGACAATCCCATCAAGAAACAGAACTGTTTAGTTGAAAGATTTTATAGTAGTTTATATTTGCACACAAATTCTGCAACAGTATTCAGTGCCACCAAACTAAAATTTTTGACTCTTTCACTAAAAATGAAAAACCCATCTGTCATCTGTTCCCAGAAAAAAACAGACTGCTCTACAAAATCAGCCGATTTAGTCAGGTAAGAACTGACAATTGAAAGATAGTCTTTCCAAGCTGCCAACTCATCGAATGGAGACCACTCCAGAAGCATGGTAGGACCAAAGAATATGAGGAGACCCAGCAGAACTACCACCATCAACAACTGGTAGGAGCGCCAGGGAATCTTTCTAATGAACACGCCTGTGTCTTGAGGCAAAGAAAGCTTATCCACATCGACTAGTTTAATGTCCTCCCACTGACTGGTATCAAAGTTCTTCATTAAAGGGCTTGTGGGCAAATTAGAGGGTGGCAAAGGAGTTTCCTTGATTACTTTGATTTTCTCCCTGAACTCCTGCATCTGTTGCAGAAATATAATAGGTTCTGACACGTCTTTGAAAGCCTCGGCAATGTTAAAGGCCATCCGTTGCTCCTGTAAAATAGTGTTGAGTTTGTTGATCTCTGGGTCATAGGCTTGCATAACTGAAAGCTTCATAGTCTCAAAATCAGACAGGATTTCATTCTTCTTTTGGTCTAATGTGTGTTGTAACTTCTCAAAAAACTCCTTTACTTTATCTGAATCTTTAGTGAGCAACTGTAGGGATTTCCTTTTGTTTGTTTCCAAAGTGTCCAAGCGGGAAAGAGCATCTCCCCGGCGCCAAGTCTCAAAACTCTGAAAGAGGGACTCAAAGGCATCCCTTTCCTGAGCATAGGCATCTTCAATAGAAGAGAAGACATGCTTAGTGTGATCACCACAAGTAGCACAGATCCCACAAATCAGCTGCATATCAGTTACACAGAATATGTTGAGAGGCTGTCCCAAGTGTCCTTTGCACACTGGCATTTTGGGAGAAATCTTGATTTTGTTGTATTTCTCCACAATACCCTTTAGGGAGTAATTAACTTGCAGACTATTGACTCCAGTTGCTGAAGTTTCCTTACGACAGGTAGGACACTTGAAAGGAGATGGTCTCCACAATGAATTCCGCACATTCCCCTCTAAGAGCCCTTCTAAACATTTTTTGCAGAAGTTGTGTGAGCAGGGCAAAACTCGGGGATCATCAAACAAACTGCAACAAATTGGGCATGTGAGATCTTCTTCAAGCAGCTCCATCACATCCTGCCACAGAGAAAGAAACATTTAGCTCTGGTAAGCCCCTCTGTACTAATTACAAAACACTATCTTCCCAACAGAATGATTGCCTGCTGACATAATCAAAGGATATAAGGAAGAAATTTGGAGAAGGCTTGCAAACAAGCATATTTAACTCACTGGGACAAGAGCACACTCCTGTACACAAGGCCTTTGTGAGGGCTTCCCATCAACAGCCTTTGCTAAGACAGGGTTAGGACTGGGACAATGGCAAACTGAGCCAACAGGACCCAACATTGTTTTAAACAGAGCTGACTACAAGATGTCAGAAACAAAGAGTCTCAGTGTCTGTAAGAGAATGGGCTCTTTACTTTGGGCCTACAAATATGAAATGGTATGCTAAAGACGGAAGCATACAATAGAAATCCAAGCAATACTCTATTCCAACTTTTACTGGAAATTGGCATATTTTCCTATTTCAAAGACATGATTACAATTATTTAAGAGAATCACAGTTTAAAAAGCACAAAAGAGTTGTAATTCAACCTTGTCTAGGGAATTAAATGAGGTGGATTTTTGCTGTTGTTTGGGGGGATTTTTTTTATTGGTTGTTTTTAAATAATCAAACTTATCCTATATCCTTTACACTACAGCAGTAATTCTCTCTATGAGGGGCAGAAACCTAAGTGTCCCTCTTTCAGAGAACTGGGGAAGCCAAAAGCACTTTCATGATGATGTGCCATGCTGACTGGTATTTGCACCAACTTTGTCAAAGCAACAGGAGGTATATTCTGCTGGAACTTTAACAGGAATCAAGGAAGACTGTAAGAAGCACCGCACTGTAAGAAGAACTACTCAGTGTTCTTCAGGAACACACAAGAGGGGATGGGAAGGAGCACTGTCAGTGAGTAGTGCTCTTAGCCAGGCTAATTAAAGCACACACCTATAGTCCCAATACAAAAATAGAGAAGGAAGGATATGAGTTCAAGGCAACAGGCTACAAAGCAAGTTCCACCCCAGTCTGGACTGTGAGACCCTATTTCAAAACCAAATAAATAATAAAATCTTGATGAAGCAGCAAAAATTACTCATTTTGCCAAATCCCGATTCTTGTCTACATGTCTTTTAAATATGTGTGACAAAGTAAGAACGACACACAAAAGCTTTTGTGTGTCTGCAGATGCTGTCTAAAGGAGCAACAGGCTCACGTGACAAGCTACAAGAGAAGCCAGCTGCTTCTATTAGGAAACAATGTAAGCCAGCACTATGCAGATTTAGGTAGCTGACGGACATCTTGAAAATGAGAGACACACAGGCTTACAATAAATATGATCTCATATACTACAGTATGACAAAAAATGCTAGTATTTGTTGAGGTTTGGCACAGTATTAAAGAAGAGCAACAAGTTATCTCAAAAAGCTACTAAAATACTACTCCCTTTACCAACCACAAATCTGTGTAATGCCAATTTTTTTCTTGTGTATGTCAATCAAAATAATTAGAACAGTTGTTTTCAATAAAATAAACATTTAGGGCTGGGATACGGCTCAAAAGTTGGTAGAAAGCACCCTTGGCATGTACAGGGCCTTAGGCTAGTCATTAGTGCAGACAAAATTGCATCACAGTTCAATATTAAATAACAAGAAACAAAGGTGGTCAGGATGAAAAGGAGAGAGAGGGGACCTGAGGCAAAGAAAAACTTTGGGAAAAATGGAGAGAATACAATAACAGAGGACCAAAAATTTTAAGGCAATCAAATATGAGGAAAAGAAAATGTGAAATTTACAATAGCCATTCAAAGTCATAATCATTCCATAAAGAGTACTCATGCATTCATTCTATCCTAAAACTTTTTCCCCCCTGTACTGGCAAAAGCTAAATCTGCCATGCAGAGCACTACATGGCTTGGAGACGCCTCTGTGTGCTGCGGCAGGAATCCACTATGCTGTGTCCAAGCTCAAATGCTGAGAACCCGTCACACTGTAGCTCAGGCTTGCCTGAGACATAACTAGGAAGCTGTTTTTAGCTCCATTTTAGAATCTCTTAAGTACATTATTTGAAATAAGGTTAGCTAGTAAATGGAGAAGTTTTTTATGTTTATATTTTTGTTATTTTATATTTTTTATTTTTTTAAAACAGGGTCTCTATATGCAGTCCCAGCTGGAACTTTGCTATATAGACTAGACTGGCCTTGAATTCACAGATAGCCTTCTGCCTCTGCCTCCCCAGTGCTGGGATTAAAGTTAAGTGCCACCAAGCCTGGCCTGTGGCCTTTAGAAAAAAAGTACACTTGGGCAGGAGAGGTGGTACAGCAGTTAAGAGCACATATGCTCTTGCAGAGGACCCAGATCAGCTCACAACTTCCAGGAACTCCAGCTCCAGGGGGAACTGAAGCTTCTGGTGTCTGTGGGCACCTGTACTTATGCACACACAGAAATATAATTAAATATAAAAATAATCTTTAAAAAGGTAAGCTTTTCTTTTTTTTTTTTGGTTTTTCGAGACAGGGTTTCTCTATTTAGCTTTGCGCCTTTCCTGGAACTCACTTGGTAGCCCAGGCTGGCCTCGAACTCACAGAGATCCGCCTGCCTCTGCCTCCCAAGTGCTGGGATTAAAGGCGTGCGCCACCACCGCCCGGCTCTAAAAAGGTAAGCTTTTCTTGTAAGCATTTGTCAAGATAAGTAAACCTGATGGCTCTTAGATGACTCAGGGGCTATGAAGAATTTTAGTATTTACTGTCTTAGTTTTATTATTTATTTTATGTTTATGGTTTTTGTTTGTTGGGGGGGGGGAGAATCTCTCACTGGCCTAGAGCTTGCCAAGTAGGTTAGACTAGCTGGGCAGCCACCTGTCTCTCTGCCTCCCTAGTCCTAGGATTACAATTACACATCACCACACATGGCTTTTTGTTTTTGTTTATTGGTGGGTTCTGGGAACTGAACTCAGTACTTTATTCTATAAGTCAAGCACTTTATTGACTTAGTTACTTTCCAAGATCCTCTCCCGACTGATAAATTTAAACACTGTTTTGAAGTTCCTAAATCCCAAACAAAAATGCTCTAAGAAAAGATCCCCAAGATACAGGAGGCCTACACTCTGGCTCAGAGGCAGAGCACCTGCTTAGCATGCTTGAAGCCCCGAGTCCAATGCCCAGCCCTGACAAACAAATCCCAAAGACACAAAAGCATAATATAATGGCTCTTCTTTTTGTTCCCAATAGATGGTTTTACTCTGTATTTTTTTTTTTTAAGGTTTATGTGGCCCTTGGGGCCAACACAAGGCTTTTTATTTTTATTTTTGGAGCTGAGGATCGAACCCAGGGCCTTGGGCTTGCTAGGCAAGCGCTCTACCACTGAGCTAACGGTTCACTGGGGTCAGTTCTTCTCCTACCTACCACAAGGGCTGCGGGGATTGAATTCAGGTGGCCACACCTAGCAGCAAGTACTTCCATCCACTGAGCTGCCTCTCAGGCTCCCATAAGAGATGTTTCAAGGGGAAGATTAACTTGTACTTAAGAGCGAATGCAAAGCTGGGCATGGTGGTGTAAGCCTGTATCCTAGCACCTGGGAAGCTAAGACAAGAAGAAAAGAAGTTTTAGGATAGAATGAATGCATGAGTACTCTTTATGGAATGATTATGACTTTGAATGGCTATTGTAAATTTCACATTTTCCTTTTCCTCATATTTGATTGCCTTAAAATTTTTGGTCCTCTGTTATTGTATTCTCTCCATTTTTCCCAAAGTTTTTCTTTGCCTCAGGTCCCCTCTCCTTTTCATCCTGACCACCTTTGTTTCTTGTTATTTAATATTGAACTGTGATGCAATTTTGTTACCATTTTTACTTACAAATACACATTTTTCCCTATCAGTACCTGTTCTTCAAACCCATGCTAACCCACCTTAGGAATATGCTTTCTAATAGTTTATCTGTCATTCTCTTTATTTTTAGAATGGTACTGCTTAAGTAAAGGCCTTATAAAAAAGTTTTAATGAAAACCTCTTAATTTCTGACCATTTCCTTAGATACAATACTGGATCAGGAATAAGCGCATCTTTAAATTTTTATTTATTTGTGTGTGCGTGCGCGTGCGTGCGTGTTGCATATGTGCTGGGGTAAGAGGGCAGTTTATGGGAGCTGGTTCTCTTCTTCTACCATGTGAGTCCTGTAGATGGAACTCAGATCCTGTCAACGGTGTTAGCAAGCACCTTTACCTGATGAGTCATTTTAAAACTCTAAAGATTGCCAAGTGTTTTTCTAAAAAGGGTGTGTATAGCTGGGCATGATGGCACATGTCATTAATCCCAGCACTTGGATTACTCACCTGGATTAAATTGCAGAACAATTTAAGTCAGTTACCATTAGTATACATCTATGTATTCTATATCTATATCTATCTATATCTTGAGAACAAAAGAATAGGAATAAAATGTAAGTTGTAGGCTCAAAACCAGTGTAGCTAAGCCCCTAACTTCATAAGTAAAAACATGGAGCCCAACTCACTCTGCCCTTCCACCACCAAAGCAGACTTTGAGTTTTCTAGGATGCAGCACTATCCAGAAAGTGAGTCAAAAATTCAGCATCTAACCCGGCATAGCGGCACATGCCTCTAATCCAATCCCAGCACTCAGAGTTGTAGAGGCAGGCAAATCTGTTCAAAGCCAGCCTGGTCTATGTAGGAAGATGTCACAAAAAGAAAAAAAAAAAAACAATTTGGTATTCTAGGAGCCAAGAGTATAGCAAATGGCAAAGTGTGTACTTAGCATGTTGATGACATTGGTTTAGATTCTGAGGACCAAAGTGTGGGGGAATAATTCAGTATCTCTATTCATAAAACAAAGTTTATCTCATAAACTTCCAAAAATCTCTTCTAAAACTCTATAGTTTTCACAAATAACTGTTTTATCTTTTATAAAATGAGGATCTTTATAGTACTATCTTCATATTACTGGAAAATAAATATAAAGGAAATTTCATAAATTTACATAAATCATAACATAAACTTTAACTACACCATTATACAAATACTATGGAAATTATAAATCCACATTTAAGGTTTTATATTAGAGGATGAGAACAGGGCTCAACAGAGTTTAATTCTCCTGGACAATGATTCCAAAGCAAATCCATTGGGTACCAGATACACAGAAGCATGATCTTAGGAGGGCTAGCTATCCTAGCTAGCACACATGCACAGCAGGTCTGAGGCTGAGGCAAGCACCTGTATAGCATGAGCACTTCCCAGCACCACCAGCAAATAATTACACATGTGAAAAGAACAGTCTGGTGGTAGGAAAAAATGTATCAGGAATTAAGTCAACTGGTACCAAAATACATAAACAAATACATAAATTAAAGAAGTACTAGGGGAGGAAGGAAACCTGAAGAAGTGTATCTTCTGGGGCTGGACATGTCTGTCACTATGATAAAACAATGACACAACCCATCACTGAGGTAAGTCAAAGCAGGAACTCAAGGCAAAACTACTTGTTATTCCGCACATTGCCTTCTACCTGGGAACTCGCTCCCAGGTAGTACAGCAGACACCGTCAATCCACGTGGATTGCTGGCTGTGCTCTGGCCCATAACATGCTCATGCTTAGCTGGCTTTCTTATGGTGCCCAAGTTAATCTGCCTAGGGATGGAGCTGCCCACAATGTGCTGGGCCCTCCTATGTGAATTAAGACAGTCCCTCACAGAAATATCCAGAGACCAACCTGAAAAACAATTAGACTGAGACTGTTTTCAGGTGATCCTAGGCTGTGTCAAACTGATACTCAGTATTAAGTAGGCCAGGGTGTGTAGTTCAGAGGTAGAGTACTTGGCAAGCATACCCCAAAGTGTCCTGGGGGTTTTCTCCAGCACCAAATAATAATTTTAAAGCAAAAACTGTATGAAAGGGGCATACTCAGCCAATAGCCCATTGAGTTCCAGCAGAAAGACTATAAGATGGCATTCTGTTTTTAAAGTGCCCAACATGCAAAGGGCATGTCTAAAGAGCTGCAAGGAGCCGGGCGATGGTGGCGCACGCCTTTAATCCCAGCACTCGGGAGACAGAGCCAGGCGGATCTCTGTGAGTTCGAGGCCAGCCTGGGCTACCAAGTGAGTTCCAGGAAAGGCGCAAAGCTACACAGAGAAACCCTGTCTCGAAAATCCAAAAAAAAAAAAAAGAGCTGCAAGGAACTCACCCCGTTCCACTGCCTCAGTAACACTCGGACAAACCCCACAAAAGAAATGCTGCCGAATCCTTTTTTTTTTTTTTCCTTTACAGCATACTTAAATTATGTAGAGTAACTGCCAAAGAAAGGAATGGCAAGCATGGATTTTGTCTGAGTTTTGAAATATGAAAAGAACAAAGACCACCTATTACTGAAGGATGGTTGGATGTGGACATATACTCTGTAGTTCGATCTGGAATGGTCCCAGGGCTAATAAAATTTGGCGTGTTTTTCATTAATACCAGAACATAAAGGAAAATACTAACGTTTACCTCTGTCCCCGGCAAGCAGGTGCTTTCGGTGAGGTTAATATTTCTCTGGGAAAACCCGATTTTTGGTTTCCCCCCCACGTTTTGACTGTAAAACTAGAGAATGCTGTAGAGAAAGGAAAAAGGGTGTTACATACACAGATATGCATTCTTATCCCTCCATTTAAAATTTTTTTTTCAATCTCCCCTCCCAACAACAACCAAAATCCCCTCCCAACAACCAAAAAAAGCCAGCTCGCTGTGCCTGCTTCCTGGCCACAGCGCCTCCCCAGAGGCGTGCAGACCTTCTCGGTGGCGACACCGGCCGCGCTGTCGCCTCTGCCCACGCAGGTGTCCGCGGTCGCCGCGAGCTCAGCGACACCCCACCCCACCTCCGAGGACGCCGCTCACCTCCGCGGACTAGAGCCGGCAGCTTCGCTGCAAAATGGACACGGCGACCACGCCCTCTGCCACCCGCCGCCCCGCGCCTGCGCAGCGCCCTGGTAGTCCCCACCACAGGGAAGTGCTCCAGTGAGGCCGACAGGAGATGGGTTTGGATTGCTGTACTTTTTGTTGCTGTTCCTTGCATTTTGGGGAACAACAAAAACAAAGCCTAACCCTTCACACCTTTTTGCCTGCATCTCAGGACCCGCTAGGTCGAACACATTGGCCCAACTGTAGGAAAAAGCACTACTGTGATTCCCCCCTCGGAGGCAAGAAAGAGCTTTTAAGTGTTTTTTAAATATCTCTTGGTAGCAACTGCCCTGATTATCCTGAAGTTCACCTCCTATGCGGGGACTGTGTACAAAGGATGAAGAAAACGACTCCTATCCAAAAAACCCGAGGAAATGAGGTAATGCAGGCTGAGTGTGCTGGAGGAGCTTGTCCACTCCTGCTTGGGAAGGTCTAGGCTTTTAGGAGAACAAATTTGGAAAAAGTGCGTTTCTGAGTCAATAAAAAGCCCCTCTTCACCCCACCCCAACCCTGGTGCATGTATCCCCGGCTGCACCACTTCGCAGAAAAATCACTATAATTTCTAGCTTAGTCCTCATGAGAGCAGTGGAGTCAAGAACCTTATCCTTTAAACGAACAGATTTTCTACAAGGTGGGAAAACAAGAGGCAGCTTGAAGGATATCAAATTCCATGCACACGTTCTTTCTACAGCACCAAAAATGTCAGTACAAATGAAAACTTCATCCCAGACCAGCACAAAATTGGTGTCACTATAGATAGCTGGCAGTTGGGCATAGCACATGCCTAAGATCACAGGGCTTGGAGGCAAAGGTAGGCACATCTCTGTGAGTTCGAGGCCATTGTGGTATACATAGTGAGTTCCAGAACAGCCAGAGCTACATATGTGAGGCCCTGTCTCAAAACACAAAACAAAAGGGCTGAATGAGGCTGAGGGTATGACTCAGTGATAGAATGCTTCCTGCGATTTCAGGCTCTGCATTGATCTCCTGAATGACATCAAGAACACTGAATGATATAATGAGGTAAAAATATAAAAACTGTGTATCATATAATAATAGTATACAACCAATAAAAAGACTATAACGGGCCAGTGAGGTGACTCAGCAGGTTGAGTGCTTGCCACCAAGGATGCCGACCTGAATTCATTCCCTGGAAACCACAGTAGATGGAGAACCAATTACTAAAAGTCTTCTTCTGACCTCCACACTGGTGCCATGGCACTTGCATGACCACACTCATGCACACATGATTACTAATAACCATAATATTTAAATAAAAAAACAAAGCATAGCTCCACGAATCAGAGTAAGATAGACAGTGACTATCCAAGTTAAAAGCTATACTGTAGGCCTGGAGAGACAGCTCAGCAATTAAGGGCACAGGCTGCCCTCCCAGAGGACCTGAGTTCAATTCCCAGCACCCACATGACATGCAAGTCAAACACCAATGCACACACACAAAAAAGCTTTAATTCCAGTTTCGAAAAGAAATGTAATTGGTAGGATGTGGGTAGTAAAAAACATATCTAGGAATATATGCCAAATTCTTAAAAAATTATACTAAGTGTGAGATATTTCAATATTCACTCAGTATTTCCAGAGAGGATTTCCCTCTGTAGACCTGGCTGTCCTGGAACTTGCTTTGTAGACCAGGCTGGTCTTGAACTCACAGAGCTCCACCTGCTTCTGCCTCCCAAGTGCTGGGATTAAAAGCATTCATTCAGTATTTTAAAAATTACTTTGTTGGGTATTGGAGGCAAGGGGAGGGGGGCTCAAAAGTTGAAGGTTGTCCTTGGCTGTGCAATGAGTAAGACCCACATGAGCTACATGAGATTCTCAAAATACATATGTCTAGTTTAGAATTTTTTCTTTTCTTTCTTTCTTTTTTCTTTTCTTTTTTTTTTTTTTTTTTTTTTGAGATGGGGTTTCTCTGTATAGACCTGGCTGTCCTGGAACTCTGTAGTTCTGATCTGTAGACCAGGCTGGCCTTGAACTCACACATATCTGCTTGTCTCTGCCTTTGGAATGCTAGGATTAAAAGCGTGTACCACCACTGTCTGGCCTGTTTTTTTATTGTTTTTATGTTTAAGTCTGGGCATGGTGGCAGAGGCAGACATATTTCTGAGTTTGAAGCCTGTCAGATCTATAGTCTTAAACAAATAAGCAATTTTTTGCATTCAAAAATCTAATACTTTTGCAATGTAAAGAAAAAAAAAGAAAGCAAAGTAAATTTGTAAAAGAAAAAAAGGAGTGCCGGGCGGTGGTGGCACACTCCTTTAATCCCAGCACTTGGGAGGCAGAGCCAGGCGGATCTCTGGGAGTTGAAGGCCAGTCTGGTCTATAGGGGAGATCCAGGACAGGCACCAAAACTACACAGAGAAACCCTGTAGATGTAACCAACCATCTTATTAAATAAGAAACACAGAACCAATATAAAAGAGACAGCCAAGAGATAGAGCTCAGAGCTAAAATCTCACCCTTCCTCCTGCGGTGGTTCCAGCTTCCCGAAAGAGAGCTATTTCCCTGTGTGTAAGTCGGTTCATAGTAATTCTGCCTTCTCATTGGTTGTAAACCCAAACACGTGACTGCCTCGCCACTATCTGTATGTAAAGCCCCCCAGGTCTTAAAGGCATATGTCTCCAATGCTGGCTGTATCCCTGAACACACAGAGATCTATGGGATTAAAGGTGTGCGCCACCACCTCCACACTCTGTCTATGGCTCTAATAGCTCTGACCCCCCCCCACCCCGAGCAACTTTATTTATTAACATACAATCAAAATCACATTTCAGTACAATTAGAATACCACCACAAAACCCTGTCTTGAAAAAAAGAGAAACAGAACAAATATATATATATATATATATAATGTATATATATATGTGTGTGTGTATATATATATATGTATATATGTATGTATGTAAACTTTGCTAAATGGTTGACAAAACAAAGGCCAAGTTTTCAAAAATAGATAACACAAAGTCTATAAAAATATAAATCGCCGCTCATTACAGGTGGTTGTGAGCCACTACGTGGTTGCTGGGAACTGAACTCAGGACCTCTGAAAGAGCAGTCAATGCTCTTAACCTCTGAGCCATCCCTCCAACCCAAATTTAAACACTTAAAGTTCTCTCTTTAAAATTATCCAGTCTTGCCCTTTTCCGTCTGAGGACTTGTGAAGCACCCGGGGAAGGAGCCGTCTCCATGGGACGAGACCAGAATGGATCTGAACACTCTGTCTGAGGCCAACAACTTGGAGGTATTGGTGAGACTACCCTGCTCAGCTGAAATCCATCCGGGAGAGGATTCAGAATCCTATCATTTGAAGTCTGAGGAAACAAGATCAGTTGAGGAGTTGACAAATGAGCAAAACATGACCTGAGAACACAAAAGAAGGCACTGCCCAGCCACCGAACCAGATTACCAGAATCGTTAAGTATATACTTCACTGACTGAGAACAGGCAAGCTCCCATCCCCAGACCATCAGATCAGGTTTCTAACCCCTAGGCCTACGAGTCCCAGCGACCAGATAGCTACCTTTCTCTGCTCCCACCTCTCAAAAAAAA